CGGAAGATGAAGGAAGTTCATTCCGGGGTTTTGCCTCCTCACCGCCCGTAGAGGAGGGGGCGAGAGGGGGTGAAGGGGGCCCTGGAGGGGAGGTGGATGTCAGGGAACTGCCATCGGACGGAAGGGAGGTGAAAGGGCTCACACAGGTTGGGAGAGACGCAGCAGCTGAAGAGGGAACCAGCAGGGAGGTGAAAGGGCTCACACAGGTTGGGAGAGACGCAGCAGCTGAAGAGGGAACCAGCAGGGAGGTGAAAGGGCTCACACAGGTTGGGAGAGACGCAGCAGCTGAAGAGGGAACCAGCAGGGGGAGAGGAGCTGAGCTGGAGGGATGGCTCAGAGACACTTCCAGCGAAAACAGTGGGGAGGTTTCAGGACCTCCTGTAAGAACACCCACTCCTCGCCGGAAACTGTCACGCAGAGATTCCAGAAGACGTGTTTCCGTTAAGGAGCTTTTATGTTGGAAGCGATTACGAAAGCAACCACTGTCGGAATCTGCTAGTGACTAGAGTAGCCATGTCTGAGGGGCTCCGTCACAGACAGAGGTTTGTGGACTTGAACAAACTCTGAGGGGATACGATTTTACGCACAAGCAGCTCATCATCCCATCACAGAGGCAAACCATAAATATAAATGGAGGGCTTTTTAAAGTAGATAAAATAACTGTAATTAAAAATTGAGGCGCCAATAATACCTACCAAAATTTAGTTTACAAGGAATAACTTTTCTTAATTCTCATTGCTGATAGCTTGATAATTGCCACACACACACCCCCTTCAGCCACCTTCTGTGTTTCAATCATTGGGATTGTTAGTATCATAGAATCTTAGAGCTGGAAGGGACCCCAAGGGTCATCTAGTCCAACCCCCTGCAATGCAGGAATCTCAACTAAAGCATCCATGACAGGTGGACATCCAACCTCTGGTTCAGAACCTCCAAGGAAGGAGAGTCCACCACCTCCCAAGGGAGACTCTTCCACTGCTGAACAGCTCTTACTGCCAGAAAGTTTTTCTGAATGTTTATTTGGAATCTCCTTTTTTGCATCTTGAAACCATTGGTTCAAATCCTATCCTCCAGAGCAGGAGAAAACAAGCATGCTCTCTCCTCCATGTGGCAGCCCTTAAGATATTTGAAGATGTCTCTCATATCTCCTCTCAGACTCCTCTTTTCCAGGCTAAACATACCCAGTTCCTTCAAGCACTCCTCATAAGACTTAGTTTCCAGACCTTTGATCATCTTGGTTGCCTTCCTCTGCACACGTTCCAGTAGTTTCTTGCCCTTTAGCAGGTTTCTGGAGCACCACCTCGGTTTCCTGAGCATCAGTGCCAGGTGCTCTTTTGTCATTCGTATTGTTTTCTCCCTCCCCCTCAAGATCCAGGTTAAAGCTCTCCTGAACAGATTCTCAAGACTCTTGGCAAACACATTCTTGCCAACTGCTGTGAGGTGCAGCCCATCTCTTGCCAGAAGTCCTACCTCAAGGAAGTGAAGGCCATCTTCAAAGAAGCCAAATCCTTCCGGACAACCCCACCTGCACAGCCAGTGGTTTACCTCAAATATTTTCCTCTCTTCTTGGGCCACGACTTTTAACAGGAAAGAGTGGTGAAAAGACTACCTGTGCCCCAATCCTCTACAGCTCCTTGCCCAGTGTCTCATGGTCCCTTGCTATGTGTTACAGGCGATGTGTGGCAGTATTATTTGTACCCATGTGAATCAGAAAAAAGGGGTAGTGGTCAGTGAGCTTTATAAGACTTGGCAACTTCTCCATCACATCAAGAATCTTTGCACCCAGAAGACACCCTCCCATGACATCCTGTTTCCTCCACACACAGCTGCCTCTGTTCCCCTCAGTAGAGCGTCACCTATCACCACCACTTGTCTCCTCCTCCTCTGGGGAGTAGCAGGACCCATTCTGTGGGGTGTGCCTTCCAAAGGCTGCTTGGAGTGTTCTGAAGTCTGCTTCTGTTGTTCTCAAATCTTCCCCCTCTTGTTTATTGAAGCTTATATTGATATTGTTGGGATAAGTTACAAAGGCCGGAAACATGGCTTGAGTACTTCCTACTCCTTCCTCCCAGCTTTTCATCTCCAGGCTGCAATTCCCTTTCTCTAATGTCATCTCCACTGAAGGTAGCAAGTACCTTCATGTCTTCTGAAGTTGGCAACTGCTGTCCTAGCTCTTCTGGTCCAAGGTGAGAGCATGGAAGTGATTTTGCAACTCTAATGACAATGTAGTAATTCATGTGCAGGTGGGCTCATATTTCCCTTTTCATTGGATGAATGCTCTTATTCGTCTATGTGTGGGCTAAAATAAAAGTATACATTTGTATGCTGCCATTTCAAACGGCATATAGTAAGATTTCTACATGAGTCTACTCAGAAGAAAGAGTGTATAGGATTATAGCATTGGGAAATCTTAAGAGAATGTGTGGGGTGGGTGCTTATTCCATTTTATGTTATCCACCATGACAACCATGAAGTAAGTTAAGAAGAGAGATTAGCACTTGCCCAAGGTCACACAGCTAGTTGAATGGCTTTGCACCTTGGTATTCAAGTCTATATACACTTGGTATTCAAGTATATTGTGTTTAGTTATGTACTACCCTTCTAATGATCTGAGTGAACAGGTAAGGCTATATAGGAAATTATGTTCTCTTAAGTAACCTGATTCCAAGTTACTTATTCTACCTACATTTATAGACTGCCACTCAGCCACACAAAGGCAATGGGGGACAGATGATGATCCACATAATTCAACTTTTAATGGTTCAAACAAACAAATCCAAGCACCAATAAGGAATAGCTGCAATCAAAATACAGTGGTACCTCGGGTTAAGTACTTAATTTGTTCCGGAGGTCCATTCTTAACCTGAAACTGTTCTTAACCTGAAGCACCACTTTAGCTAATGGGGCCTCCTGCTGCCGCCACACCACTGGAGCACGATTTCTGTTCTCATCCTGAAGCAAAGTTCTTAACCTGAGGTACTATTTCTGGTTAGCAGAGTTTGTAGCCTGAAGCATATGTAACCTGAAGCATATGTAACCTGAGGTACCACTGTAAAAGCAAAAGCTGGACAATGACAGTACAACATCAGGATAAAGAAACTGATAGGCAGGAATTAAACATCACACTATGGCAGTTGTTCCATCAGGGCAAATATCTATGGCTTGCCAAATGGAATAATCCCATCTGCTCTCCCTGTGTGCTGTTCTAGAAGTTCTCCTAACACCCCCAGGGCAAATTTTGGGGTGGTGCAGAGGGAAGAGAGGGGTTAAAAGCCCCAATGTGCAAGTGGAAGATCTTGCTCAGAACTTAAACTGATGGGATTTGTTAGTTGACTCCTGCCTATGGTTTGGGCTCATTTATATGCTAACTGTCATTCCCCCCCCCCCCCTAAATGTAGATGAGAGGGGATCCATAACTCCTTTCTTTCATCCTCTCCCCCCCCCCGCTCACTTGCTTTTTGCCCCTGCATCCTCAGAGATCTACAGAAGTTATCCTCTCTATTCTTAGTTTGGTTGGTGTTTGATTAGCTGCCTGCTAAAGAAAGTTACATTTATGGCCCTTTGCTGTTATTGCTGGATATTGTGGCATGACCACACTCTCATCCCTATTTTGACTAGACTTTTTTTAAAGCACCTGATCCCAGAGCAAAATAAATATGTATTTGCTTCATACTTCTTCAAATATCATCCCCATCCAATAAATGATTAAGAACTGATAACCTGCCAGTTCAGCATGAAGTTATTGATTCTGCACATTTTAGTAACTGAGGAGGAATTAATGATTGAGAGGATATTTGACTGTAAACATAGCTTTTGTTGTTTTCTATTTTGGACTCCTTTAGGAGGAATGATGGGATAGAAATGTAATTAATAAAATAAAATAAATAATCTCTCTTGAGTTTCTTTAGTCCATGTTAAGGACACCCACAGCAGGGCAAGTGAATATTTTGACATTGCAAGGCATTCAGATCCTACATCATAGAAAAAGAAAACTGCACTTTCTACCTAGATTGATTCAGTTGGGATTAGTTAATGGGGCGTATATGAGAATCAGAAATTCCAGACAGTGAAATGCAATAACCTGCAAATTCCTGATGAGCTTTCTAATGCCAGATTTTAGGAAAGTCAAGAATTAGGTGCTTATAAGTGGAACCATTTCTCTGGAAAGAGTTAGATCTTCAAGTTTAGAAATCCTTGGCCTGTTCTCTAAACAAAGATGTGGGAAACTATTAATGTTTATATTAAAGATCTCCTTGAGGATTTATTGGTCACTGTGGAATATGAGCAGCAATGTCTTGTAAAACTCTTACAGTCATCTTCAACATCTTTATACGAGGCACCCCAGATATATGGAACGCTGGAACAGGAATATGATCTGATGCGATGCAACTGTTAAAACACCTCACCTAGGTTTTACTAGTTTTAATTCAGGATGGGTCAGGCTAGAGGAGTGGGGAGGGGGACTGAAAAGTTGAGGCTGGGGGCTAAGCCTTCATCTTTTAAGCTTTCAAAGATTGGCAGGTATGCCAGTGGCACCACAGCCAACCATTACTAGGTAAAACACTTATCAAGTTTTGTTTATGGTTATGACTCTTAATCAGAATCAAAGATCCTTTTTAAAATGTTACGGTCTCTCTTCCTCTCTCTTTCTGTCGCTGTTTATCATATTTGGAAAGAAAGGAAGATAAAAAGCAGGCCCCTCATTATCTAAACCTAAATAATCTAAAGTCCTTAGGGCTGTTCACACAGGGAAAATAATGGCTTGCCTCCTCATGTAATCCTATTAGGGGGAAAAATTTGCTCTGAAATCCACATGCATAAGATACTGCTGCATACAAAACCAATGGACTAGAATCGGCAGCGTACACATTCAGCCTAGGGCAATTTCTATGACTCTGAGCCAAGAGGCACTGGGAAATCATAGGAATCATAGAACTGTAGAGTTGGACGGGATCTTAAGGATCATCTAGTCCAACCCCCTGCAAAGCAGGTAAATATGCAGCTGTCCTACAGGGGGATCAAACTTGCAACCTTGGCATTATCAGCACTATGCTCTAACCAGCTGAGCTACCCAGGCATTTTAGATACAGTTGTCGTTTGCATCATCTCAGCCAATACCTTCCATTCATAGCCAGAATGGTAAATGTTCAAAGCCCAGAGGTATACAATCCCTTGTGTAAAGGGGAGAGTAGGAAAGTGTTCATTGGTCCTACCCTCCATCACATCCCAGTTGACTGGCCCCACTGCACTTTCTGTGTTTGCAGTGAAGGTCTGAAGAGGGCAGCTTGTTCTGTATGATTTAGGATCCTGATCACACACCCTTAGCACATTTGTTGCTTATGAGTGTGGAACAAGCTCCCAGCTTTTACAATGCTCCAGTCTGCAATCCTAGGCACACTTACATGGGAGTAAGCTCCACTGAACACAGCACAAATTATTTCTTAGGGACATACAGGGCTGTGTTGTAAATCCTATCAGGATTAGAAGTTACCACGTCTTGATGCTGTTCACCTGCCCGCGCACAATGGCAGCTGTCAGAGATGAGCCAGGGAGCCACAGCCAGAAAGATCTTGTTCAATTAAGATACCAGTCCCACAAACAGGAAACGTTTTAGCACAAGACCAATAGGAAGCTTGGAGAGATGTAATCACTGTAACCAGAGAGTATGGCCACATCTACACCATACATTTAAAGCTCTATTATACCACTTTAACAGCCATGGTGTCCCTCCTCCGCAAGAATCCTGGGAACTGTAGTTCATTATGAGTTGTTCTCTGTGAGGGGTGTCTCAGCACCCTTAAGAAATTAGAGTTCCCAGGATTCTTTACGGGGGGAGGCATGGCTATTCAAGTGGTTAAAAATGGCTTTGAGTGTATTATGTGGATGCAACATGCTTTGCTGGCAAGATGTTCCAAACTGCAATTCTGATAGCTCGCCACATGGGGCAGCTGCATGCAGAATGGAAGGTTACTGGTTCTAGCCTTGTCAGCTCCTGACACCTGGTCAACAGAAAATACCTTCTATGTTCCTGACCACAACTTTAGCATAAAACTCTAATGTCTAATCTAGGTGGAATCTACACACATATAATAAATGCTGTGAAAATGCTTTTAAAAAAGATTGGTTTGAAAAATAGATTGAATTTTGCATAGCTCACTTTTGCCATCTAGTGTCATATTTGTATATTGCACTTTACAACACATTTACAATGTTTTATTTGCATCTGTGTAGCTGAGTCCCTAGTCACAGGTAAGACCACCCATATCCTCAGTTTGTGGTGCTGAAAGACAGCACATCAATTTAACTGTCAAGCCAGGCAGCAACTGGGCACGTTTCAAGTTAAAAATTGTTAACATTTAAAATGTGGGATAACCAGCCTCATATAACTAGCATTCTCAAGTCTCATAAATGCATGAAGGGGTTAATGCTACAGAATAAACTGTCCTTCCAGGCTTAGCTAGGTCACTCTGCTTCACTCTGGAAGGAAGGTAATCAAGCCAAGCCTTTTGCTCACCTCAGTCTACCCAAGAAGCTCAGTGTGTAAAGAGGTCTGAACCTAAATTATACCAATAATTTAGGAACTAAGCCAAGTTTTACTGTGTGTTTTCTGACTTCTGTATGGAAAAGCACATTAATCTGACCTTTGGAGAGTTGTAAACCATTTTTAACTTGAAAAAATGTGTGGCCTTTTTCTAGCAAGGGGAAGAGGGGAACTTTGGGAGCAACTTAGGGCTTATTTTAAAGGCTTCACAGTCTATTTTCATGCTTTATTTTGCTGCATATTTTGCGATTTTAAATCTCTGCTGGGGTTCCTTTACCAAAGCGTACTTGCCCCAAACCTGGATCTTGCCATCCAGAAAATTCTCCTTTTATACTTATTTTTTACCTTGCCAGCAACAAAAAAATGCATTGTGTTAGACAAAACTGCTTTGCAAAACTGTTCATATTAGGCAAAATTGCAAAGAAACATCTGTCTATTAGAAGAAATTCACTGATTAATTTTCATGACAACTTAAAAAAAAAAAAATCAGAAACTTATGCAGGGAGCTGACCTTAATATTGGGGGGAAATGAGAAACCGAGAAACCAGATTTAATAGATTTGCCCATCACTGTGAAGACTCAACTTTTGCTTCGCCCCCACAAGTACCATTCTTCCAATATTTGGAAACATATGTGCTGGAATTTAAATTATGCCTGTACAACTTAGAGCCATTGCACACCATCCTTTCCACTGACTTCTCTACTGTGTGGTGGAAGCTCATGTGAAAAAGGTTCAATGTTAGTTTCACTTTCACCTTGAGTCGGAATGGTAGAACATTCCTCCTAGGTGGGCCTCCTTGTATCTTATCAAAAATATTTGATTGCATTATGTTTGAAATAACATGTAACCTTAGAGACTCCCTTAGCTTTTAGGCTGTCATGATGATTAAGGTCTCATTAAATTTCAAAACTACCTAGAGGCAAAACTTGTTATCTAATGTTAAAGATTTTGGAGAGTCTTTATCAGCATTATGTTACATAATGAATGTGGAAGAACCCTTTTACACACTAATTCTTTCTGACATAGCTTACAAGAATTGTTTGGTGATTTACACACATTGCAGACTCTGACTACTCAAGCATACCCTAGATGGATAAATCTGTATTTTCCTGTGTCTTGGATTTCTTTGCACTGTGTTATCTAAAGTTACTTCCAAATTAAATACCCTCTGACTAATATGTATCTCCCCCACCCCTACCTCCTCACTCCAGAAGCATTAGGAAAAGGGGGTCGTGAGATTATGCCATACATTAAAGCACATGGCTTTCTTCAAATAATCATGAGAACTGTAGTTTGTTATGGGTGCTGGGAATTGTAGTTCAGCGAGAGATCATCTACTGTTCTCAGGATTCTTTGGAGGAACTCATGCGCTCCAAATAGGCACTTTTAATTCAAAAGGTCTAACTGGAGAACCCAGCAACTCACTCAAGGAACTTCCCAGTGTCACCTCTTCTGTAAACGCTGACATGGTTTTCCTGTGTCTGTAAAACATCTCAGTTCATTAGGCAGATGTGAGATAGCAAAAGGGCCATGATGCATTGTGTTTGGGAACCCCCAAAGCCTGGTGTGTGTGTGTTTGGGGGGGGGGGGACATGCCTTCCTGTAGCAAGCCTGAAGCCTTTAACCCAACAGCAACTTTCGTCTAACGGGGGAGGAACCTATTTATGACTAGTCATGCAAATTAACAAATGAAAAGTATGCTGTAAAGTATGACAAAATGCTTTAAATAGTGTTGTCTTCATTAAACTTTCAACTGCATTTCTGTGTTTTATGGCCACGGTCTATGCTCTTTCTCGGATGTTTACTTCAGCAAGAAATCCATCATGTGAGGACCTTGAAAAGAATTAATCCCCCTACCCCTGGCACAGAACTCAGCTCCAACAATTCAGATCTAAATATTTAGTGATGGATGATACATGTTTATAGAACAGAGGGCAGCATGACATTTTAAATGGGATCTGGAGCTGCTATGGTGAACCAATGTTGTTGAAAAGAAATTGGAAGCCGAAGCGACGTAGCTATCGGAAGCTGATAATGCCGACCCCTATTTTCTGTGCCTTTTCTCCCTCCTATCGACTCCTCCTGGGTTTTCAAAGCCTTTGCGGAGAAGGTTACAAGCCACTCTCTGAAAAGGAGAGGGGTTCTGCTGACTGTTGAACATTTACTGGTGCATCCCATGCTTAAACTAATAGCCTCCTTGGGTGTCAGCCAAAGGTTACAGGCCTCTCAAAATATTCTTGAAGGGGGAAAAAAAGTTTATCACTGAAACACAGTTTCTCATTAGTAACCCTATGTTGTCTAATCTGTGAAATTACATGATTTAACTCTTTGGCAGAGACAGCTCCGGATGGCATTTGCATTCCCACAGGAAGTTATTAAAAGTATCGCTGCGATAATTTCCCTACTTTGTACTCAGTCCGTGGGGTAAAAAGAAATTCATCACTAGGTGAGCCCTCTGCAATAAAGCTATAGTTCATTCACAATTATTAAATGACCGTCAGGGCTGGTGGTTATTTTTAAAGGACTGCAGTTGGTGGGGGGCAGGATGTCTAGAGGAAGATGGAAGAAATTTGTCTTTGCTTTTGTTTTTCTATTGAAATTAGGAGCATGTTTTCTTTCTTGTTCATTGGGGTGTGATGAAATGAATGTAGGTTTTCTCTGCTGACCTGTTGGACTCCATCTCCCATCAGTCTTAGCAAGCATGACCAATGGTCAGGGATGATGGGAGCTGTAGTTCCCCATGCCCATGGTCATTATTCCCCTTTCTAGTTCACAATGGTCTGGAAAGTGAAAATGCCCCCAGTTCTAATATTCAGGAAGAGGTGTTTTGGCACCAGGGAAAACTTGGCCAGATAATGAAAGATAATGGCATGTAGATTTTCATAGAAAGTCTTTTTGGTCAGTAGAGGTTGAGCTCAGAATAGTAGAAAATAGAATTTGCAGCAGAGATTCTCTTTGGATTCTCGCATCTTTTGTAGGCTTAATGTGCAGCCCCCTGAATTGAAATTGTTCTGTCCTAAATATTAAATATCTCCTGGTGTTGTTGTCGTTTTTAAGATGTCACCAGCAGTAATGGCACTGAAATAAGGGTTGGGGAGAAGAAACTAGCTCCCCCAGTTTAAGAAGTAACAAGTCATTATGATCCCTCTCAAAATTCAGGCCTGCTTTGCAATGGCTTAGCCTGATGCTAAGCCATTACAAACCGGGCTAAGCCAGGCTACACTTCCAGAAAGCCCTTTTTCATATTTTCCAAAGTTAACCTTGAAAGGAAGGGCACAGTGCTGGAGAGGACTATCGTGGCTATTAGCCATGGTGGCTATGCTCTGCCTTCACAGCTGGAAGTCAAAACGCTTCCAAATACCAGTTGCTGGAAGGCACAGGAGGGGAGAGTGCTCTTATGCTTGAATCATGCTTGTGGGTCTAGTTGGCCACTGTGAAAAAAGGATGCTGGACTAGATCTATGTCATTGACCTGAACCATCATACTTGTCTTGTTTTCCTTGCATTGTCCTCTCTGAGGAGCAGCAGCAGATCTC